AACATGCAAGATAGTGGCCCTCGAGGACCAGGATTGGACACGGCTGGCTTAGTTCTTCTTCTTTTGGCTTTTCCCTCCACAGCGAGTCATCCCCCTCTATCTCTGTCCTCTGCATCCTCTGTCCTCACTCCATCTACCTCCATGTCCTCTCTAACTGCATCCATATATCTCCTCTTTGTATTTTTCCTGGCAGCTGCATTTCTAACATCCTTCTACCAACATACCCACTGTCCCTCCTCTGGACATGTCCAAACCATCTCAGTCTGGCCTCTCCAACTTTATCTCCCAGTTGTTCAATCTGTCTTGTGCCTCTGATGATTTCATTCCTAATCTAATCCATCCTTGTCACATAGGAGAACCACAATATCTTCAGTTTTGCTACTTCTCCTGTCTTTTTGTCAATGCCACCGTTTCCAAACCAAACCATGCAGCTGGTCTCACCACTGTTTTGTAAACTTTTCCTTTAACTTTTGCTGACACCCTTTTGTCACAAATCACTCCTGAAACTTTTCTCCATCCACTCCATCCTGCCTGGACTCTCTTTTTCACCTCTTTACCACACTCCTGGACAGTGGACCTCAAGTACTTGAAGTCCTGTACCTTTGTGACCTCTGCTCCTTGTAGCCTCACTGTTCCACCAGTTTCCCTCTCATTCACACACATGTACTCTGTCTTACTACGGCTGACTTTCATTCCTCTTCTTTCAAGTGTATACCTCCACCTCTCGAATTTCTCTCCCACCTGTTCCCTGTTCTCACCACAGATCAGTGTCATCTGCAAACAGGGATTCCTGCCTGACCTCATCTGTTAGTCTATCCATCCCCAGAAAAAACAAAAAGGGGTTCGGAGTCAATCCTTGATGCAATCCCACCTCCACTTTGAAGCCATCTGTCACTCCTACATCACATCTCACCACTGTCTTGCTGTCCTCGTACATACCTCATACTTCTCTGCAAGTCCAAATTTCCTTATGCAATTCCACCCCTCCTCCCTTGGCACCCTGTCATATGCTTTTTTTAAATCCACAAAGACACACTGAAGTTCTTTCTGACCCTCTCTGTACTCCATCCATCCATTATCTTCCGCTTTTTCTGAAGTCAGGTCACAGGGGCAACAACTCACCCTATCTCTAAGGGAGAATCCAGCTACCCTGCGGAGGAAACTCATTTCAGTCATCCGTATCTTCAATGTCATTCTTTCGGTCACTATCCAAAGTTTGTGGCCATAGGTGAGGGTAGGAACATAGACCGGCTGGTAAACAGAGAGCTTTGTCTTACAGCTCAGCTCCCTCCTTCCCACAATGGACTGGCACAGGGTCCACATTCCTGCAGACACTGCACCAATCCGTCTGTCAATCTCAATCTCCATTCTTCCCTCACTTGTGAACAAAACCCCAACATACTTGAACTCCTCAGAACCTCACCCTAAACCCGAAGAGAGCAATCCACTTTTCTGACTGAGGACCATGGCCTCAGATTTGGAGGTGCTGATTCTCATCCCAGCCCTTCACACTTGGTTGCGATCCACTCCGGCGAAAGCTGAAGATTACAGCACGATAACACCAACAGGACCACATCATCCGCAAATTGCAGAGAAGGAATCCTGAGGCTACTGAACTGGACTCTCTCTAGTCCCTAACTGCACTGAGAAACTTTGTCCTTGAAATTTATAAACAAAATTGTGACAACGGGCAGCCCTGGTGGAGTCCAACTCCCGCCCTGAAGGGGTCCGACTTACTGCATCTTTGTACTCAGCATCCTTATAGCAAAGATGACATCTGTGGTGCTTTTTCTTGGCATGAAACAATACTGCTGCTCACAAATAGTCACCTTTCAACTAAGTCTTACTTCTGCAACTCTCTCCCAGATCTTCATCATGTGGCTCATCAACTTAATTCCCCTGTAGCTGCTACAACTTTGTACATTACCCCTGTTCTTAAAAATTGGCGGCAGCACACTTCTTGATTTCTCAGGCATTTTCTCACCCTCAAATATGCCATTGAATATTTGAGTTAAAAAAAAACTCACTGCCATTTCAGTGTTTTCAAACCTCCACTGGTATGTCATCAGGTTTTACTGCCTTCCCCTTCTTCATTCTTTAAAAAGCTTTCTGAACTTCATCATTAATCTTTCTCACTTCCTGGTCCACAGTTTCTATGGCCTTTACTCTTCTTTACCTTTCATTCTCTTCATTCATTAGTTTCTCAAAATTCATTCAACCTTTATTTATACAGGTTAATCCCAATGAGCCTCGGGGACTCATTTACAAGAGAGACCTGAAACAATGGACAACAATGACAACAACAGACAATCATAAAGGATGCGTACAATTATTATTTTTTTTAACGTGAAAATAAAATGGTAATTAAAAGGATAAATAAAAGGAAAAGCAGCAAAAAAACAGCTAGATCATAAGGCGGTGTAGAATAAGTGTGGGCGATATGGCTCAAATATAATATTGTGATATTTCAGAGCATTCTGGTAATAACGATAAATTTCGTGAATAACAAAAAAAACAACAAACTGAAATCATATTCATTTGACAAAATTAACATGTTGCTTTGCAGTATTATATAAAAAAACAAGGGTTAATTTTACTGCAATTACTTTATTTAGTGAAGTATTCAGTCTCAAAGTATAAAAATAAAAAAATAAAAATGATCCCTCTGTTATTTAGATTGAAAAAGTCTGCACAAAATATAGAACAAAATCCATCAGGAAAACTAAAGTGAAGGTGCCGTTAGTGCACAGTCAGACTCAGGTCAGGCTCCGCGGTCCGACTTGACCATGAATCGTTGGTCGATGCGTTCAGTGTTTCCCCTGCCATTAAACAAGCGGGGTGCCCCGCTGCGTCAACAGAACCAAGCGCACAGTCTACCGAACCAAGCTGAACGCACCCCCGCCCCACCCGCCTGCACTGACGTAACTCCAAGTTAGCAGCGCGCTAGCTAAAAAGCTAAAAGCAACGTCTTCCCTCACGCTGACCGGCTCAAAAACTGTCGGGACAAACAGCGCTCAGCTCAGATGTGTCTGCGTCCCTCTCGCTCTAAAACAGTGCACAGCTCAGATGTCTCTGTTCATGCCTTCATCGCAGCATAATCTGCTGCTTGGTGGGATGACATATTTACGTCATGAAATTAGCATATCACGATATCATTTATTTTCCCGGGCAAGTTTTTTTTTTGCCGGTATTATCGTGAACGATATGAGATGGCCCTAATGTAGAACACTAAAAACAGGAACATCTTCCAGTCATGGTTTCCTCACTTGTTAGAACATTACAATTCCTATCTTTCACAAGCCTAACCTGTTGCATATCCTTTCCAGCCTGATCCCTCTGTCTCAACAATCAGTACAAGTCCTTCTCACCTTCTTCAGTGTCCAGCCTCCCATACAACTCATCATACGCCTTCTGCTTTACCTTAGCTACCTCCCTCTTTGTTTTACGTCCTATCTCCTTACATTCCTGTCTCCTCTCTTCAGTCCTCTCACTGTCATATTTCTTCTTGGCTAATCTCTTTCTTTGAATTGCTTCCTGAACTTCACTATTCCACCACTAGGCTTCCTTATCGTCCATTCTCTGTCCAGATGACACACCAAGTGCCTTTCTACTTGTCTCTCTAATTACTGTTGCTGTAGTAGTCCAGTCATCTGGAAGCTCTTTCTTACCACCCACAGCCTTTAACAGCTCCTCTGTGAACTCCTGACAACAGTCTTCCTTCCTCAGCTTCCATCATTTGAGCTTCTTCTCTGATTTTACTGTTGTTTTTCTTTTCTTCACAGCAATAGTCATCTACACACAACCATCTGATGCTGTCTGGCCAAGTTCTCCCCTGTCTCAACTTTACAGTCCCAATGTCCCATAGGTTTCCTCTTCTACACAGAATGTAACCCGTGTACTCCTTCCTCCACTCTTAGGTCACTGCTCCTCCCTCTTTTGGAAATAAGTGTTGACTACAGTCATTTCCATTCTCTTAGCAAAATCCACCACCATCTGTCCTTCCTATCTTTCCTTGACACCAAACCTACCCATCACTCCCTCATCCCTTCTGTTTCATTCACCAGCATGCCCATTCTGGTCTGCTCTGATCACCGCTCGCTCCTCCCTGGGAATACTTTATATCACTTCATCCAGATCCTTCCAAAAATTTTTCTTTCTCCTCTATGTCGCATCACACCTGTGGAGCATAACCACTGACAACATTTAGTATTTAGACCTTTTACTTCTACCTTCAGACACATCATCCTATCGAACACTCTTCACCTCAACTACATTCTTTACCAACTCCTGCTTCAGGATCAGCCCTACTCCATTTCCCTTTCTGTAAAACAAGACCCCTGGCTTAGATCATTACTGGAAATGTCTAGTTGTATGTCTTGTCTGAGTATTTTTGCTATTAAGTCCCTCTGAAGCAGCTATACACAGGAATCATGTTGTTGTAGCCCAAGGCTTTATTTGCTCATATATTCTAGTTGATGGAAAAAATAGGTCATGATTCACCATTCAGGCTGATGGAGCGAGGCGTTTTATAGCCGAGCAGACAGTGGAAGCGGTGCACCAAACCATAAAACGATAATCTCTTTCGATGCGATCAAATGTTACAGTGTGCCATCTCTGCCCCGGTTCATCGCCATGGCAACCGGAATCCCCTCACTCCCGGAAAAACTCAAAGGGGGCGTTTCGACTGCTAGCTAAAAACCATAAACAAACAGATGCAGCTAACGGGCCGAGACTAAATAGATCACTGGCTTATATTCTAGCCTGAAACGAATTAAAGGTCCAAACAGCGCACGTGCAAACTTGTGAGGCGACAGAACAGTTCGTGAATGAAGGCGAGCGGTTTGTCCCACACAGTAACCCGACACTCACTGCTGCCCAGTCCGCCCGAGCAGGTGACGACGACCCGGCGGTGTATTTATATCCTCCCACCTCGCTTGTCACGAGAGACACTAGCCTCGATTTACCGCAGCAGCGTGGCTCTGCACGGCCCTCTGGCTTACCTCGATCCATTTCTGTGCCTCCTGGCAGGCTGCAGCCGGATGGCTCCGCTCCTGCGGCGGAGCACCACTCGGGAAATTTCCACACGCAGCGGAGCTAGCCATCTGGCAAACCGTCCAGCCGGTACCGGAGGCAGTCGGACAGTGATAAAATGATTAAATATGCAGTAAAAATCAAAGAGAAAGAAGAAGCCTCCCGGCTTTCCCTGCCCGTTATCCTCCTCTGAGCTTCTGCAACTCCACGCGCAGGCAGTTCGCGGCTCCCTCCTCCTCGCGCTCGTCACTCCGCGCGGCGCAGAGACCCGAGGAGAAGACGCAGCTTCTTCTGGCGGCGCTGCTGCTGCTGCAACACGAACCACACGCTCAAAATATCCACTCCCGACTTGTGGGGGAGTCCTGAACGTTTCGTTCACCCCAGTCAGTCCGTCTGGGACCCCGCGCTGCCGCCGCGCGCATTTCAAAGAGCTGTGCACGCGCAGGCAGGAATCTCTGCTGGGGGAGGTCGAGGGAGGTGAACAAAACACTGAGGAGAGAGGAGGTGCAGAGGAGGTCCCGCGTTTATCACGTTTACAACAGCTATTCTGAAGTTACATGTTAAAATATTTAATTAGAGTCTGGTTTCATAATAAACTACCTGCCAAGTGTTGTACAGTGTTGACGCTTTTTGATGTTGTAAGCTTTTATTGCTGTCATAAACTAATAAACACATGGTCAAAATAAATGGGCATTTTTGACAAATTACTAAATAAAATTCTTCAATCTCAAAGTGAAAGCAAATTTCTATAAATGCCAATTAAATTAAAATATGTATACAGGTAAAATTAGAATGTCATGAAAAAGTTGATTTATTTCAGTAATTCCATTCAAAAAGTGAAACTTGTATATTATATTCATTCATTACACACAGACTGATATATTTCAAATGTTTATTTCTTTTCATGTTGATGATTATAACTGACAACTAACAGAAACCCCCAAATTCAGTCTCTCAGAACATTAGAATATTAAGACCAATTAAAAAACAGAATTTTTAGAAATGTTGGCCAACTGAAAAGTATGAACATGAAAAGTATGACCATGAAAAGTATGACCATGTACAGCATCAGTACTTAGTTGGGTTCGTTTTGCCTGAATTACTGCAGTAATGCGGCGTGGCATGGAGTTGATCAGTTTGTGCCTCTCCACACTTCCTCCAGACTCTGGGACCTTGGTTTCCAAAGAAAATGCAAAAGTTACTTTCATCAGAGAACATAACTTTGGACCACTCAGCAGCAGTCCAGTCCTTTTTGTCTTGAAACACTTCTGATGCCATCTCTTGTTCAAGAGTGGCTTGACACAAGGAATGTGACAGCTGAAACCCATGTCTTGCATACATCTGTGCGTGGTGGTTCTTGAAGCACTGACTTCAGCTGCAGTCCACTCTTTGTGAATCTTGCCCACATTTTGGAATAGGTTTTGTTTCACAATCCTCTCCAGGGTGTGGTTATCCTATTGCTTGTACACTTTTTTTCTACCACATCTTTTCATTCCCTTCACCTCTCTATTAATGTGCTTGGACACAGAGCTCTGTGAACAGCCAGCCTCTTTAGCAATGACCTTTTGTGTCTTGTCCTCCTTGTGCAAGGTGTCAATGGTTGTCTTTTGGGCAACTGTCAAGTCAGCAGTCTTCCCCATGATTGTGTAGCCTACAGAACTAGACAGAGACCATTTAAAGGCCTTTGCAGGTGTTTTGAGTACATTAGCTGATTAGAGTGTGGCACCAGGTGTCTTCAATATTGAACCTTGTCACAATATTCTAATTTTCTGAGCTACTGAATTTGGGGTTTTCAGTAGTTGTCAGTTATAGTCATCAACATTAAAAGAAATAAATATTTGAAATATATCAGTCTGTGTGTAATGAATGAATATAATATACAAGTTTCACTTTTTGCATGTAATTACTGAAATAAATCAACTTTTTCATGATATTCTAATTTTATGACCAGTACCTGTAATGTAAAATAAGTGACTAAATATTCTTCCTCTTCACATCAGTATTTACTGCAATCACAACACTGATAAGTATCAGTTTTGTACATCTGGACACTGGACGTCTGCTCCACTTACAACACTGCTGTGTGGGAATCAGGCATGGACGCCTGATCCATTGGATTTGGGTCTGGGTTTTGACTCCACCACTCCAGAATTGCCTATTTATTTAGTTTTAAACTTCATCTACAAGTCTCAAAAATCGGACTGAAAAAGGAACTCAAAGGATCAGTCACAATGTCCACGTGTGTTGTGTACCATTATTTACAGCAGTACCACTAAATTAACAGTATTTCCTTCTAGATTAAAATTAGAAAACAAAAACAAAGTTGTTGGCTGGTCTATATATTGCTCAAATAAATTAAAGAAACACTTTGAAAACACATCAGGTCCCAATTGATAAAAAAAAACTCATGCTGGATATCCATACTGAAATGAAAACAAGGATGCAACATTATTTAATAAAAATTAATATTATCAACCCACAGAGAGCTTAATTCAAAGTCACCAAGAAATAAACTGAAACACTGATGCAGCGTGCTAATCCAGTTGGATTAAATGTCATTGCAGCAACTGAAAATGGTACCCAATAGATTGTATGCATGACTGACATCAGGACATGCTCCTTATGAGCTGACGGATGGTGTCCTGGGGTTTCTCCTCCCAGATCCTGAGTTCCTATTGAGGTGCAACCTGGCTGTGGCAGATGGACCTAAACTTGATGTCCCAGAGATGTTCTTTTGGATTTAGTTCAGATGAGTGTGGGGGCGTCAATTGCAACAATTCCTTCATCTTCCAGGAACGTCTACTCATTCCACGTGAAGCTGAGCAGCATCATGTACCAGGAGGAACCCAGCAAATGTTCTAACAGTGGGTCTAAGGATTTCATACCGATACCCAATGGCAGTCAGGGTGTCATTTATCCTGTAAAGGTCTGTGCACCCCTCCATGGATATGCCTCCCAGACCAACACCGACCCACCACCAAATCGATCGTACTGAACAATGTTCACCACAGACTCTCCAGACCCTCTCGTCTGTCACATGAGCTCAGAGTGAACTTGTTCTCATCTGGGCTGAACCTGCCAATTCTGTGTTCTCTGGCAAATGCCAGTGGAGCTCCACGGTGCCAGGCAGTGAGCGTAGGACCCACTGGAAGCCCTAAGGCCACCCTCATGTCTGTTTCTAATGGTTTAGTCAGACATTCACATCAGTGAGTCACTTTAGGGCTCTGGCAGTTCATCTTGTTCCTCCTTACACTAACAAGCAGACACCGGTTCTGCTGAAGGGTTAAGGGCTGCAGACGGCCCTGTCCTGCTCTCCTTTGAGAAACGGTCTCCTGGAACCAAAACAGTCCATGCTTAATAATCCAGGTACACAATCAATTTTCAGTCAGGTCATGTGGACGGTTTCTTTTTTTGCTGGAACCTCCTCCATGCTCTTGAAACTGTGCTGGGAGACATGGCAAACTTTCGATGGCACAAACTGATGTGCCGTCCTGGTGGAGTTGCACGGCCTGTGCACCTTTGTAGGATCCAGGGATCACCTCAGTAGTGACACTGACCCTGGAGAAATGCAAACTACTGGAATGCAGTCAAAACAGATGGAGGGAACTAGTCTGTGGCCTTCAGCTGCAAAACCATCCGTTTATGGAGTGGTCTCTTTGCCTTTCATTATCATCAAAACAGCTGACAACAACCCCCTCTGCTACTTCACTGACCAGATCAATATCCTAGAAGTTTGACTTGATTATATATTTTATAATTAGTGTTCATTTGTTTTAGCAGTGTATTTAGAAGACTGGGCAGAGTTCAACCCTGCTGCTAAAAATCTAAACATGTACGTTAATTTTGGACTATATTATAGACATTTAATGTTTTCCCAACCCAGACGGGGTATTTGTGTGAATATTTAATGAAGAGCCAAGCGGTTGTTCATTTTCCTCTTAGTAATTTAGTCAAACAGCAGCAACAAGAATTATGGCCGAGCCACAAGAGTTCATGAACCAATTCATGACAAGACTTTAGTCATCTACAGAATCAGACCAGATTTTAAGAAATCTGTTTACCATTTAAAATTCTGATAAGCATTTTATGAATTTGCTTAAATATTTTGCTTTAGATTGACCTAAAGAAGCAAAATGCCAGTTTTAAGTTGATAATGTTGCGTTCAGTTTCACAAACTAAACTGGCGCAATGATCAAAAACAATGAAACTTGAGGAAAAAAAATGTCCATGAGTAATTAAATGATCAGTGAGATAAATACAATGCTTGAACAAGTTGTACAATATTTGATACAGAGACATTTGAACATTTAACAGCTGCTTTATTAAACCTCATGGCTGTACTACAGCAACACAGGATTAGCAAAGTGCAAAAAGGTAAACTGAACACAGATGTAGCAGACGGCAACAATCCAACCGACACAAGCACTTTAGATGAAATGTGTTTTGTAGAGTCTGTGCTTGTGTTTATGAAAATTTAAATCTATAGTTTTCAAATAAAGTGCATTTTTGAATATATAGGAAAAGAGGAAAAAAAAAAAAAAAAAAACAGCATTGAACTCAATTCTTTAACAAATAAAATTCCAGTTTCACAGAATAGTGCAATACTCAAGAAAACTACTTCGAACATTAGAACAAAACATCTCTTCCTGCAGATACATCTGGGGCTTTTGGATTGTCCAGTTGTTTTAACCACCACACAGCTGGAGGCTTGCAGAGAAAAACTTTGCCCTTCAGTTCATTACTTGTTGGTTCAAAAAGGTATCAAGCAGTCCGAGTTTGACACAGATGAACATATTAAAAATAAAACATTTAACGTTTTCACAGCAGAATGGAGACATCACATGAAACAGTTTGCACAAGTCTAAGTGTGAATAACAAAAAGATTATAAGATTTTACATGTGCTAATGCTAAAATAAGCTGTGATGAGGTGAAATCCTCTATAGTGCATAGTGCCAGCATATGTACGTGCACACAGAGCGCTGCAGGTACCGGTTGAATGTGTTTACGATGCAAAAGGCTTCAGAACATTGTGGTTTACAATTCGCTGATTCAGAGACCTGACAAATATCTAACACTGACAAAAAGCCACAGCAGAGAAACGAACTTCATCTTTCTCTCGTTCCATGAATCCACGGCACACTTTGGCTGCGTCCTAAAAATTTAATCAGAACATGTAAAAATGAGGTCGACTCGAACTGAAGGAAATAAATAAAATAAAATAGAAACAGTTGAGCAGGAAATTCATTCTCAAAATATTGTGAATGTCACAAAAATTATAAATGGCCTAAACTTTAATGGTAATCGTTTTAGATTGTCAATAAAATTTGGTATTCATTAAAAAAAGGTTTAATTTCTCCTTAATTTTTATTATCTTCAATAAAAAAAATAAATAAAATTAAATATGCCAAAAGATTTAATAGTTCAAATTATACCATTTGGCAGAACTGAAAACAGTCAACTTCAGTGATGTGCACCGTGATAACATCTGGCTTTGAGGTCTAATAAATCCATGTACTATTTTTTTTTTTTTAGGGGCTTGTTCATAATTTGAGTTAAGTCTAAAACGGTTTATTGCAACTAGACCCGTTCAAAAACAAACTCACTAAATGTGCTTCATCTCCACAGGTGTGCAAGTTTAGGCTTTATCAGACAGCTAATCCAGCACTCAGACTTCCTCTGCACAGCTCTGAGTGGACGTTAAAATGTAGTTTAAAGCACTGCAGGCAGGAAACAGCATTACTTAAATATAATTATTCATTTTGATACAACTACACTTGAGTTTTTTCTTCACTTTCAGATACAGGTGCATCATCTACTGCAGATCATAACCAACTTTACTTTTTGTACACGTTTAAAATGACTTCAACATAACTTACTGCAACAAAAGACTCCTCTTTGGTAGCTCCATGGTTCACTGGTCCGTTCATTTTCCCATCTTAAATACAAGAAAAAAAGGCAGTCAGGAATCCAAAATGTGTGAAGAACCTACAGGCAAATCAGTAAGACGGCATGCTTACCAAATTCATAAAGTTGTCCGTTTACATTGACAAAGGCAATGAAGTGAAAGTTGACTTCGTCTGCTTCAGGCTGTTAAAGAAAAAAAAAAAAAAAAAAACCCACTAAATACATAACATGTAATTCAGTTCATAAAAAGTCTGGTTTTAAATGCATTTGTAAAATATTGTACGTGTCAACATAAATGGGCAAAAATAAATTGTGAAAGAGCAAACAAAAATATTTATCCTCATTCAAGTCAATGCAGTGACTCAACAGTACAAACCCGAGTCATTTACCTAGATGTCATGTGCAGCAGAGAGATGAACAGAATTGAATACTACAGAAAGGACAGGCAAGCCTGATGTGGTATGAACTGATCACCACTGACATCATCTGCATCCTACCTGGCATTGTCCTTCCTTCGCAACCTCATTGTGAGCATCACAGATTGCCTAGAGATGATGAAAACACAAAACTATGTCAACGGTAAAAAAAAATAAAAATAAAAACATGACAGTTGAGTAAAGTGCTAAACCAACAGATTTTAAAGAGCACAGCGCCCTCAGGCGGCTACAAGCCTCACCAGTTCAAGTCTTCAAATCTTGAGAGCTTTTTATTGTGTCAGGGTTCATTGGAAGTGCGCTTTTGGTTTAGTTATACTAGTAAATATACTATGGTAAATCAACATTTTATACAATGTGGATCAAGGATTAAAGAAAAAAAATTGAATGGGTTTTAATTGAAGCTATATTTTTGCCACAGCAAGTCATTTTCACAATATACTTTTAATTAAAAAAAAGTTTCCTTTAACCATTTACCTTGTTGTTCTCCAAACATTTAGCACGATCATCAGCAGACATGTTGGCAGTCTCCTTCAAAAAGGCGTTCAAGACGGAGTCACCGTCTAAAAACAAAAATTAGCTTCATCAATAAAAGACAGGTTATTTATATTTGGTCATTTCCCACCTAATGGATGAATCATTTATGCACCTACTTTGCAAGCATCAGTTTCATCCGTTTCAGTTTCCAAATACTTAGTTTAATAGTAATTTGTTTAAAATGTTCTGAACATTTTAAACTTAATGATAGTTTCTCAATGAGCAACCAATTCTTTAAACTTTTCTTCCTTGCATCAACTAAAACATGGAAATATTAGCTTTGGATGAACACGAGTTAATACAAATTTCTAGAAGCTATTTTACACTCTACATTTAAATAATTTAAAACGGACTTTATGAGGTCATGCTCCTTTGCGTATAACAACCAAAGACTGCTACGATGGGAAAATAACATTTCATGATAGTGATAAATTTTAATGTGCACATTTAAGGAAATTACAAAATAATTCGGTACCATATTACGTTACGAATTTACCACACGGAAGTTTAGATGTGCTCACCAAAGGTCAATTTATCCTTAATGTTGGCGATGGCGTGCACCAGGGCAATGGTGCCACAAGAATTGACTGCAGTCTGCTTCAGGAAATAAACATGAGATCCTCCTGAAACCTCATCGGCCTGCTGAGCTCTGAAAGACTCATGCTGATGCACACACACACACACACACACACACAAACACAAACACAAACACTTATTAGGCCATTTTATTGACTTTAATTTACTGGCATCTTTATAGCCTAATCCTGACCTTAACTTGAACTTAAGTCTCAACTTAGGCCCACCTCTAACCAAAAGGGGAAAATGACTCCATCATATTAAAACAGTCTTAGGACTCTCATAAAGATCAGTCTTGAAAAGATTGAATCTAGAAAGGTCCTACAAAGTGAACACAAATGAAGTGTGCAAACACACACTCACCTGCAAACTACACAGTCAGCCAATTTAGCCACTTCCATGAGCACAATTTGGGAGAAGAATCAACTTAATTATGGCTCACTTCACGATAAAAACACAAAAATCTACTTAAGTTAAACATCAGTGTTGCACATTAAGAAACATGAAGTATCTGCTGATTCATTTCCTCACCACCCTCCATCTCTTCATCCATACCCTCATTACATCGCACAGTTTCAACCACACATTCCACCATAACGTCATCTCTCTTCCAGGAAGTAGTCCTCACCGAGACCCCCATAATTACCTGTTGAGTGAGGGGGAAGAGCAGCATCAAGGCGCAGCACGGTTTGGGGACAGCTGAGAGCTGATCATCCTCCACCCCCAGTAAGTCAACGCAGTGACAGCCACCCACGCCAAGCTTGCCCATCATCTGAAACACATTTTAAAGTCAATTAAAAAACAGCAAAAAAAAAAAAAAAAAAAAAAAAAACTGTCTTCAGAGGCATATCAAAGATGCTGCGCTCCAGTCAGACCACACCCTGTGGTCCAGACAACAAGAGGGGCAGCGACAGGGATGCTGCTCTGCCCCTTACAACACAGCTACACGATTTATTCGCTTTAATGTCGAGGTTTATAATAAAACTACTAACACGACACGAGAATAAATAAACCACACGTACATGCGTGGCGTGTCGGCGTTGACCGTTCGTTCCAGTTACGGTTTAAAAGCCCGTACGACTAACTAGCTACTGTAACTTACCTGGCAGTTGCATGTAACGGTAACCAACCTGTCCCTATTAAATCTGCGGCTAACGTTCGATACCCACCTTGTTCAGCATCTGAAACGACAAAAAATTAAGTAAGTTTTCTGTCAGTTAAAGCGTTACGATGTTAATAACGTTATCTCTCCCACCTCGGGGTTTATTTCCATCGGAGTCCACTCCATTCTTTAATTTTTTTTTGTTTTGGCTAAGTTCAGAAGTGACTTCGCAGGTTAAACAGCGTCGGATCTTCGATTTTTTTAACGAGTTGTGACCGATGACGCATGCGACGCAGCCGCTCTTTATTCTCTGGATCATACCATTTTGGGGAAAATGTGAGGGGTGTTCAGATAAAATAACCGCAGCTGTGCAAAAAATGTAACCGGAGTACAGAAATATATTTGATGATCTATAACGTTAAATTTCAACTTTACACACATTAAGCTACTATAAAATATAAAATCAGCAAATTATTATTTGTAAAGAGTAAACACAGTTGAAATGCCACCTCCCAAAACGAGAGAATTTGTCATGCTTTAAATTGACAGTTCTGATCTCTTTCATACAAAGTAGAAGGATCGAAAAGAGTCAATGGCGGTCTATTCAGACAATTTCAAAAGAACATACTGTATAAATGAGCTTTTTGCATAATTTTTTTCCTCAAGTTTAGCAGTTTGTGTAAAATGTTTTATAACTTAATCAAGATGGAGGCCCAGGTAAGGCATTTCACTCTAGATAAGATAAAACCTTATTGATCCCGCAGGAAATTGTTGTGCCAGAGTTTCAATGCAAAGGCACATGCACAATGCATCACACAAGATATATAAAAAAAAAACAGAGAATATTCAAATACCAACAGTTAAGGTCTAAAACAGCTCAGGTGCAGACAGAAACATTAAAGTGTTTATTGTAGTGTAGGATTACTTTATGTGTAGAAGGGGAGGAGTTGAAAAGTTTGATAGCTACAGGCCAACTAGGTATCCCTGTAGACAAATTCAGAAGGCGTATCTGGATGGCCACATCTAGATATTATGATATCAAATGATTCTGGTCAATTTGTGGTACTTGTGCTCCTGGACCTTACTGCTGCTTTTGATACTGTTGACCACAGTATCCTTATATCACGGCTGGAACAGTGGGTTGGGATCGCAGGTGCTGCATTAGAATGGTTCCGCTCATACCTGAGTGGCAGGAGTTTTTTTGTCAAGGTTGGTAATAATGTATCTACCTTATTACTTCTTTCTTGCAAGGTCCCACAGGGTTCGATTCTTGGACCCCTTCTGTTCTCACTTTATTTGCTCCCACTGGGGTCCATCCTGAGGAAACATGGTCTTTCATTTCATTGTTATGCTGATGACTGTCAGATCTACCTGCCTGTGAAACCAGCGTTTGCGCCATTCACCCGCTGTTAAAATGTCTGGATGACATTAAGGCCTGGATGGCTTCAAATTTCTTAAGTTTTAACGATGAGAAGACTGAAGTCATTGTTTTTAGCACTATCAATCAACCTTTATTTATACAGGTAAATCCCATTGAGCCTCGAGGACTCATTTACAAGAAAGACCTGATTTCAACAAAGAATGATGACAACAATGGACAACAGCAACAACAATAAACAGTTATAAAAAAGCATACTACAGTTTTTTTTTTCTTTCTTTTTTTTTTTTTTTTTTTTTTTTAACAAATAGGATGGCTAAAAGGAAGGCTAGTTGAGCTCAACTAGCTCAACTGCCACCACTGATCCTGTCAACCTGGACTCTCTTCAGGCATATCTGAAGCAGTCTAGTAAAAATCTCGGGATGGTTTTAGACTCTGACTTCAAGTTTGAAAAAACAAATTAACTCTGTTCTGCAGAAAAGCTTCTTCCAACTAAGACAGGTAGCTAAGCTCAAGCCAGTGTTGTCCAGACCCGACCTTCAGAAACTAGTCCACGCCTTTGTCACAACCCGATTGGACTATTACAATGCACTCTATACTGGGGTCAGCCAGGCCTCCATCTCACGTCTTCAGCTCGTCCAGAATGCTGCTGCTCGGCTTTTAACCAGAACTCGTAGGTCTGAACATTTTACACCAATTATGTCCTCCCTTCACTGGCTCCCTGTTCGTACTAGGATAGTCTTTAAAATTCTTCTGTTGACCTTCAAATGCTTAAATGGCCTCACACCCCTTTACCTCTCTGAGCTTCTGGAACCTTACGTTCCCTCTCGGACCCTGAGATCATCCGATCAGCTGCTTTTGGCTGTTCCAAAATCAAGACTGAAGCTCAGAGGAGGTCATGAGGCCCAAACTCTGGAACAACCTGCCCCCAACATCAGGCAGGCCACCTCCCTTCCTCACTTCAAATCTCTGCTAAAAACACATCTGTTCTCGCAGGCATTTCACACAGTGTAAATTGATCTAGTGTTTTTTGTTCTGTTACCCTATGTTTTAAATGCTTTTTATTAATTCTTCAGTTATTATTATTAGTGTATTGTATTTTTTTCTCATTAATTTTACTCCCATTGATTGTTGTTGTTGTTGTTAAGCACTTTGATAACAGGTTCTGTTTTAAATGTGCTCTATAAATAAAATTGACTTGACATCTGATTAGACAACAAGAAAAATGGTGTATCTGGACATCACATCTGATTGGAAGATAAAAAACAAGGCATTACTGGAACAAAAAACAAAAAAGAATCCGGTTTGGTTGTTGAATAATGTGAAAATAGATCAAATCAATTCGTAAATACAAAATAATAATAAAGTAACCAAAATAATAAATTAAAATTAAAGCAGTCACTGCAGATGAGTAATTGTCAGTTTCTATAAGATTTCTGCAACTGGAGCAGGTATTTTTGCTTACTGGTTAACTTCCTCAGCTGTCTCAGATTTTAAGGGTCAATCCTACTCCATGTTTCAGCTCCTTTCATAGATCAGATCTCATAGAAGAACACTTCTAAAGAGCAAATTTTGTTTTTTAATTTTGTTTTGGACCATTATCTAGTCACAGGACTCATGATCTTTAATTGAGACCAGACTTTTTGACAAATGGGAGCAGGTTTCGCTTCAGATACTTCATATTTCATTGTACCCAGACCACACTCAAGCCAACCTGTGTCAGGTGCAGCCTACAACCCAAGAACAAAAGAGAATCTTCTTGTGTTTGATAGCAAATATAACGCTGCTTCTTAGAAACCTTGTTTAAAAAAAGAGCTGACGTTACTTACATAAAGAGTCAGCAAATACAGCTAACCAATCAGTGTTTGCTGTCCACATACGCCTATGGTCCAGAAATGCCCACTTTTGGTCTGCAGAGAACCCCTTCTCGCTGCAGGGAGGAAGGATTTCCTACGGCGTTCTGTGGAGCACCTCGATGGTCTCAGTCTACGATCGAAAGTGCTGCAGTAAGAGTCCAGTGTGGCATGCAGGGGGTGTGATGTGTTGTTCAGGATCTGAAGCAGTTTCCTCAGCATCCTCTGCTCAGACACCTCTGTCAGAGACTGCAGGTCCACTCCCAGAACTGAACCAGCTCTCTTGATGGGTTTATCAAGTCTGTTGGCAACAGCTTTCTTCACCCTGCTGCCCCAGCACACCACAGTGTAGAAGAAGACGCTGAAGACCGCCGAGCGGTAAAACATCTGCAGCATGGTCCTGCAGACAAAGGACCTGACCTGAGAGAGCTACTAAAGATCTACAGAGCTGTTTGTGGCACCTGTGTCAAATAATCATATGTTTACTCCATCAGATATAGCTTTTGACTCCTGGGTCTTGAGGGGAGTGCATTCGCTGTGTGATCTCTAAGTTGATGATAAATTTGCCTCTTTTGAGCAGCTGGTACAGAAGTTTAATATTCACAAGTCATAGTTTTTCAGATGTTTGCAGCTGAGACATTTTGTGAGGACTAACTCTGACTGTTTTCCCTTGTACCCCTCTAAACATTTTGTTGCTAATATTTTGTCCTGCAGGTCTGATACCAAGGGGGCCCTCAGCAAGATGTATACACTGCTCAGTTCATACCAATGAGACCAGTTTGCACTCATAAACTGAAATGGGAAATGGACTTGGAGGAACTCATATCAGACTCAATCTGGCAAAAGATCATGAAGAACATTAATTCATCCTCAATCTGTCTGAGACATGCTGTAATTCAATTAAAGGTGCGGTGCACCGACTGCACTGGTCCAAAACAAGCTGTCCAAGATCAAAGCCGATCTGGACCCCGCATGTAATCATTGTAAACAAACTCCAGCTAGACTCTTGCATATTCTGGACCTGTCCCAAACTGCAGACCTTTTGTCAATCTGTTTTTGACACCTTCTCTGGGATATGTAGAAAATCTGTGCACTCATCACTGTTCATCTCACTGCTTGGGTGGTCCCACCCTGTGGATACGTCCTTCAGCAAGTACGAGAAGGCTGTGATTGATTTTGACTGCCTTCTGGCCAGGAGACTTGTTTTGTGTAGTTGGAAGGACATCCCCCCACCCCCACCCCCCAGTATATGTACATTGGATAAGAGAAGTGATGTATCATATTCATCTAGAAAAAAATCAGAAAGGTTCTGTGGAAAGATTCTGGGAGACCTGCAGCCTTTTGTGTCATATGTTGACGACATGACAGTGCTGTAGAGACATTTGTGTGTGTGTGGCTGGTCCGGTGTGGGGGTTGGGGGTAGGGTGGGAGAGGATTTTATTCTTTGTTGTGTTTGGGTTAAAAAAACAAAATAAATTTAATAAAAAAAGACCTTGGTTTAAAAAGATGGAGTCCCAGGTTCATTTCTTAAAGCTAACATCCAATGTTATGTTTTAGTTTAATTTACAGGCGCCAAATCTAACAGCGGTATAACAGAATAAAATAATGTCTATTATAAAAGGAAGATTACAGCAAACACTGACTTGATTAGAAGTTTACAAGGTCACGTCCAGAAAAAAAAGGCTTTCAGCTTCATATGTTAAAGATGAGATTTAAAAAGACAGCATCACTGAAAGCAGTTAACTTAAAGCAAATTATCCAGTATTACTTTATCACTGCACTGTTCTGATTAGCTTATAGAGTTCACTTTCAGAAGGATACAGAATGGAGAGTTCATTTTTAGTTTTTATATATTTTCTATACACAGTGCCTCTAACTTTCCAAGACCTGTTGGCACAAATGGCCCTCAGACAGGCGTGCAGAGTTTTTGACGGGTGCCTCATGTTCTGCACGGTGCAGGTACCTGATTTTACTTTCATGCTTTATTTCATGCCAGCTTGGTCTCTTCTGTCTGTTTTTATTTGCATCTCACTGATCATCTTTGTAGACACGTGTGCAGGTGAAACCTATTTGTTTTACAAAAAATGTCCCAGTGTTGATCCTTCTA